ACTCGGCCGGCCCCAGTCTTTCCCCTTTTAATGTATTCCCTAAACTGCTGCCAGAGTGGTGTCTCTAAAGCACATATCTGGTCATGTTACTCAGTATGGCCATTAAGGCCCTTTATGATCTAGCCCTTGCTTATCTCCCTAGCCTCATTACTTCTTTTTGTTTACCATGTTGCATCTAAATAAACTACCTCTCAGTTGCACTTGGCTTTGGTTAGTAAAAAGTGCTATCTCTAACTCAAGTTTTAATGCCATTGCAAACACTGTTCCTTCTGCCCAGTCCCTCTCCTTTATTGTCTGATTACTTCCTACTTTGCCTTCAGGAGTCTGCTGAGGTGTGGGCTGAGAATCATGTCTGGGAATCGTCCTTTACCGTCCAGTCTTGATTAACTGCCCAGCATCCTGTCCCCATAATACTATGTGCTTACCCCACTCTTATCCTCACAGTTTTGTAATCCTCTGTTTACTTGTCTTTCTTTCCCATTGACTGAGTTTCATGAAGACAGAAACTGTCTCCCTTTCTGTATCCCTAGTTCAGTATACTCAATAAATGTTTAATGGATGGGTGGAAGCTGACATCATCAGAAGCTATTTCTTGGCTTTGGGAAATCTGAGTCCAAATAGAAGTTGTTGAGGTACTAATATAATAGTTCTTATGTGCTGATGATTACAGTGCTCGTGAGACAAAAACTTAGAAAGTTTATAGAGGTCATAAGCCGGCTGCACTAAGAAAACTAAATACAGGCATACCCTGCTTTTGTTTACTTAAATTTTATTGGTCTGTTCCATCGACTGTGCTAAAAATAGCATCTCTATTAGTGATATCTCAGTTTGAAAATTATCTGGAAACAAAGCTGCTTTTTAGTGCAACCTTCTTGGCAGCAGAGGGTTTGGGAGGCTCTTGTCTTCTTTTCTCTGGACCCATGCCATCTGAAGAGGAGGAGGCAGTGCCAGATCAGGAGTCTCCTTAGAGGTGTCTCAAGACACATGCCTGAGGCAGTCACTGGAGCCAGGCGGGGGGAGTGTACATGGCAGGTTGAGCTGTGACTCTCAAAATCAACCTGGAGAGTGAGGCAGGCATGTTTCTGCAACACACATAAGCCAAGATGGCTGAGTAGCTAGTTACAGCAAGAGCCTGCCTCTCCCAGGAGAGGGAAGTGGAGGGGATTGGGGACTGTGAGTGGTCCTCAGTGAGGACATCCTCAGATGGGGCTTAAAGCAGCCAATGCACTTGATTGAACTCCTGCGATGTTCCACACAGATTGTACTGGAGCACATTTTTAGAGTTCCTGTTGTTTTTTTTTACCAGTGATAACAAAGTGAGTATAAAATGGAATGTTGAGATACCCTCTTTGTTAATAGAAATATGACTGTATTCCACTTTTCATCCTGAGCCACTTACCTTCAGTTTTAACTGCTGATTCTTGGTTTCCACTAGCCCCTGGAACCCTGGCATTTTGCCCTGTCCACACAGGAGTGCCATCTGTGTTAAAAGAGAGTATAGTCCCTACAGTACATAGGGAAACAATCCAGGGTTTTGTTTGTTTGTTTGTTTTGGGTTGGGTTTTTTGCCATTCTGCTTCCCAGAGCTTTTTATAGGAATGCTTTATGGTGAAAGTGAGAATTGGCTATATAGCCAAAGATTCATGTTCATGGCACAGAGCTGAAAGTTACTACTATTCTGGTGGTAGGATAGAGCAGCATGCTCTCTGGTAATAATAGACAGGGACAGAGAAAGCCAAGACAAGAAAGCCAGCATCCCCTCTGGAATGCTCATCTGAATCAAGCTCCTGATTATATTAAAGAGTCATAGTGTCCATTAATTTCAAGGCTCTGGGCTTCCCCAGGGAACACAGAGTAACTACTTGGATATTTCATCAATTCCATCAGCCCCATTGCGTATTAAATGGCAAGAGAGAATTCCACCAGTTTTAGTCTCCTAGTCCTTTCATGTTGATCCCAAACCAGTCCCGGGGTTAGATATGTGTGGAAAATGGCCAAGAATTGACAGGATATCTAAGCAACCATCTGTGCATTACATAGAGATACCAAGTACTGCTAGGACAGAAGAAATGATACAAGGACATTCTCAGATGAGGCTTAAATCCGTGCTTTGAACTCTGACAATGGGTTTGGCACTGGCAGTGAGGATAGATACAAAATAAATAAAAGGCATAGTCCTTCCCGCTGGAGAACACAGTTAAATTCAGGGGACAATGTACAGACTTAGAAAAGAAGGAAAAAGCTCCACAAGATGATAACTGCCACATGAGTGGTTCAGATAATTCAGGGGCCTTAATGCAGCATGCCAGGAAATAAAATAAGTGCAACACTGGTATCAGCTTTTGAACCAAGACTTGAGCATGACAGCTTAGCAAAGAAGCAAACCAATGGACAGCATATGCATGCTCTGGGGCAAGAGGTATTTTTCAGCTGCTGCTGTATTCATGGTTGATAGTCATTTCATCAGCAATAGTTCCCGTCATAAAGGACAGCAAGATAAATGTGTAGTATAAATTCAGTTCAGAATCTCGGCCAAAGCCTATTACCTAACCTTTAAAGCAAAGTATCATTTGGAGCTGAAGGAAAGGCTACCAGCGCAGGAGAAAGGATGAAAACTAGGAAGACTTTACTGGAAGGTTTAAGTTTCTGGAGGGGATGGTAGCAGAACCAGCAGTCTGACTACCACAGATTGCCAAGGTTGTTGGGATCCGATCTGATTAGCTGAGGAGACATCCCTGCCTGCTTCAGGGATCCTCGAGGATCTGTATGCCTGGGTGGGTTGAGGCAGGATGGGAGGATGGCCAGTGGGCGACTATGCTGAAGTGGTGCCCTCAGGTTGAGCCAGGTCCTCTCCCTGGGGTGTGAGCCCTCTGGGTCAAGGGCAGGGCTCATCTGGGGAACCTACAGGGAGCACCACGCCTGGCTCATTAGTGGATGTCTGGGGAGGCCTTTGAAGATGAAACATTCCATAAGCACTCATTGTTTCTGTTTTTTGGACAAACTGGTACTTTGGTCTCCAGGGGCTGTTGATCTGGCCCCTTTGTACTAGTCTGGAATTTGCTGCAAACTGAGGAGAATAAGAAAAAAACAAACAAACAAACCTGACATAGTTTTTGAAAAAAACAACTAAACTCCCACTAAACTCCCGTGCTTTAGCTTGTAAATAGGATTCCTCCCCATCCACTTTTCACATTCTTGGGTTTGGGTGCACTCTGTCTTGACCTGTTCCTTCGCCTGCTGGGTTTGGGGTGTGTATGTATCTCTGGTTCCCAGACTCTATAGAGAATGCCAGCAGCTGGCATATGGTGATTGCTGAATAAGCTGCCCGCTGACGCATGTCTCCTGCAGGCACAGGGAACTGGCTGGCACGGGCGATTCTGAACCCCCATTTCATTGTTGTTTTAAAGATGCATTTCTGTGGCTGCCCCGTTCCATAGGAAAGGGAAGAAAGAAGAGAGGGAATGGATGACTCTCTGATCCTCTCTGTTGGGGGCAATGGTTGGGGTGGGCATTTTATACCTTTATAGTGGTTCTTACTGCTCCCTTCATTTTTTCAGCAGGTGCTTGTTAAGGGCCTACTATGTATCAGGCATAAGCATCAGGTCTGAGTAAGCTGCTAGGGAGGGCAGTAGAGACCCTGAGAGTTAGTTCAGTTATTCAACAGCTATGTCCCAGGCATTCTTCAAGGTCCCAGGAACATAGCAATGAACAAAATAGGCAAGGAGCCTATAGACACAGTAGGAGGAGAAAAACAATACAGCAAGAAACAAATACATGGTGTGTCAGATGGTGATAAATGCCATGAAGAAAAGTAAAGTGGGATAAGTGGGGTAGAGAGTGGTGGTGGTGGTGATGGTGGTGGTGGTGGTGTGTGTGTTTTGTAGGTGGTAATGAAAAGCCTCTTTGATAAGGTGACATTCAAACAGACACGTGCAGGAAGCAAGGGAGTACTCCCTGAAGGTTGTCTGGGAGAGGAAGCATTCAAGGCAGAATGAATAGCAAGTACAAAAGCTTTGAGGCAGGAAAAAGTGTTGGGGAATTGGAGTGGAGTGAGCAAAGGGGAGATCTGATGAGAGAAGCAGGGGGAATGCAAATTGTGTAGGACCTTGTAGGCCATGGTATGGCTTTGGGTTTTACTGAAAGGGCGATACGAAGCAAAGAGAGGGTTTTGAACAGAGGAGCGACATGACCTGAGTTTGGTTTTAAAATCAGTCTGGCTGTGGCAAGTAGACTGAAGAGAGTTATGGAAGAAGGAGGGAAAGAAAGCCTCCTTGCAGGTAACCGTGTGGAGCAGCTGTACTTGGATGGGCCACGGCAAGCCTAGGGTTTACCTGGCTGAGGAATGAGGAGCAGCCTCTTCCCACACCAGCTGCCAACTCGCAGCGCACTGTTATGTGAACAGGGCACAACTTCAGCAGCCAGCATTTCACAGAACGGAAAGGATCAGCCTCTTGGGCATGCTGCTTTCTTATTTCTTTCCCATTAATTTTGGTATGTAGAAGGAAGGTATTGGCAGAAATAGGAAGGGAAGAAGCAGTCTTTTGATTAAAGCAGAGAGCATAAACCTTGGGAACCTGGCAAGCCTCATCGGGAGTCACAGAGAGCCACTCCTCATTCCACTCCCTCCTCTCCCACCCTTTCCAGAAGTCTCAGGGTAGTGTTGGGGGAGGGAGGGGCATTGATGATCTCGCAGCACCTCGGAGTATAGTGTAGCCTGTCAGAATGGAAGGGCCTTCAGAAATCTAGTTCAGCACCCCTCCATTTACGGGTGTAGGCATGGACAGGTGAACTAACTTGTCCAAAGTCACATAGGTAGATTGCTGGCAGAGCAGGGCTCCTGAGAGTTCGCTGCTTTGTCTCCACTCCGAAAGGTTCAAGATGTGTCTCAGTGGGTCTCAGTCTTCATAGTCCTCCAGCTGTGACTTTGACAAATCCCATTTACACAAAATCCTGACAAGCAGAGGTAGTGACAAGCTTATTTTTCTTTGCCTCGGATCAAGCTTTCCATACCAGGGACCCGGTGAAAACCAGACTGCCACCGCCCCCACCTGGGCCCTGCTGTCCTCAGAAAGCAGCTGCTGGGATCATGGGCAATATCTTTGGGAACCTTCTCAAGAGCCTGATTGGGAAGAAGGAGATGCGTATCCTGATGGTGGGCCTGGATGCTGCAGGGAAGACCACCATCCTGTATAAGCTGAAACTGGGGGAGATCGTCACTACCATCCCCACCATTGGTAAGGGCACAGCCTGGGCGTAGGCTTTCATGCCAACAGATGAGCCAGGCAGGGGGCCTGTTCCTAGATTCCCCACCTGGCCACCAGGCAAGTCCATGCGATTTGTGGGGTTCGGGGAAGGATGGTTATTTAGCTTGCTAGCAGGTGCTGGGGCTGCCGTTTGCCCACCTACCCCGGCCTTCTCTGATGCGGGAATTTCTGCAGCCTGGCACTCAACAGTTGCCCTCAGGTACTGAGCTGGTTTGTTCTCTGCTGTTTGGAAAGCAGGTGAAGGGCTTTGATGTTCTTGCCAGAGGCCCGGAATTGCTTCAGTTTAGATCCTCGGTGGCCCTGATCCTGGTTAAGACCTGCCTGTGGGAGGGAGAACATTTGCCTGTGGATGGGACTCCAGATAATCATCCGTAGGTGGTTCTGTATTTGGGGCTCCAGACTACAGCTCACTTCTTTTTCTTCACTCTGCCTGGCAGGCCCCAGTTCTGCCTGGTGGCCACAATTTAGGAGTGGGGCTGAGTCATTTCTTTGTAGGAGGGAGAGCCAAAGATGGGGAGAATGAGTTGGGAAGGTTGGCTCCCGTTACCCAGGCAGTTGTGAACCTCCTGATTGGCCCTCCTCACCCCCTTTCACTTCTTCTAGTTTTTCGTGTTGACCTTTAGGCAATGACGTCAAGGAACACCAGGTCTGAGGAAGCCTTAGCTTTCTTTCCTTTGCTGGGATCATGGCCAAGGCTTGGGGAAACGGAAATAAACCCACTGGGACATGACATCGTTTGTAGGCCTGATGTTTGAGGCCAAGGGGCCCCATTGCCTGTTTTTTTTTTCCAAAGGGTTCAACGTGGAGACAGTGGAGTACAAGAACATCAGCTTCACAGTTTGGGATGTTGGTGGCCAGGACAAGATTCGGCCTCTCTGGAGACACTACTTCCAGAACACCCAAGGTATGGCATATGAACTGCCCAGGGACTGTCGTGTGAGCAGAGAGCGTGGCTGTCATTCTTGATTATGGGCAGCCAGCCAGCCCTGCTGCAGCTCCTAGGGGTGGAAGAAGAGCAGCAAAGGGAACAGATATTTGGAGGGTATGAGGAGGGTGTTATCTTTTGGTGGTGGGGGAGGGAAGTTCATCTGTCATTCTGTGCGGCCCATGCTCTGCCTCCCTAGGGTTGATATTTGTGGTCGACAGTAATGATCGGGAGCGAGTAAATGAGGCCCGGGAGGAGCTGATGAGGATGCTGGCAGAGGACGAGCTCCGGGATGCTGTGCTCCTTGTCTTTGCAAACAAACAGGTGAGACATCTCCCCACCCCTGGATTTGTCAGAGGGCAACCTGGCTGCAGAAATCAGGGGCCTTGGAGCTCATTGTATGGGAAGCCCTGTGACTACGTTCTCAATTTTGGAAATGTGGGAAATAGGATTCTTTGGCTTCTTTATGCTCCTCTTGTCCCCCGACGCCGGCTTTAATTAGCAACATTCCGGCTTCAGGGATTGGTGTCGTAGCAAATGTCTTTCATCTTCCCTATTGTCTACTTCAGTAGAACTGCCCTCACTCCTATGGCCAGACAGACCCCATTCTTGGCCTAGTCTGAATCACTTCTCCACTACCCTGTCAATCCCATACTGTATTTGGTTTCCACCAACCGAGTGGAGTGACCTTTGATGCCTTGGATCTGGGGTTCTGCGATGACTAAGTCCAAAGCTGTTCTTTAGGCTCTTGTTCTAGATCCCTATGGTGGAGGAGGAGGAGAGGGTACTGGTACACATCTTGTTGGTAGACGGGTGCTCTAGAAGCCTTGGAAGGATCCTCAGCCTCCTTTTTGTGTGTTTCCTCTCACTCCAGGATTTGCCTAATGCTATGAATGCTGCTGAGATCACAGACAAGTTGGGCCTGCATTCCCTGCGTCATCGCAACTGGTACATTCAGGCCACCTGTGCCACCAGCGGGGACGGGCTGTATGAAGGCCTGGACTGGCTGGCCAATCAGCTCAAAAACAAGAAGTGAGAGCCAGGCAGCCCTATCCAACCACCCCACCCACCCCTGACATACCTACTGTCTCCCTGCCCCAGCCCCACCCCTTCCTTCCTGTTGCCAGTGTGGCCAGGGCCCTGGGTATCATGTCCGCATGCCCAACAAGAGCCTTGCCTCTCCTGCCTTCCCTCCTCTCCCCTGTCCATGACCAGTCCCCAATTGCTGTCCTGATGATGAATCATTCCAATTTACCAGATTTAAAACAAAAACAAGGTTGTTAATGGTTTCATGGGGTGCCCCCCTAATCCTCTGAGGTTCGGGAGGTGGGGTGGAGTAGTCTCTCTGTTTGCTTCGTTTGGCTCTGGTTGCTGTGCTCTTGGCATCTGAGTCCCTCTTCCTACAGGCAGGCCCCTCTCCTACTGTCTTCTTTTCCTTCGCCACCGTCTCCCTGTTCTACATGGAAATTGCACGGGCCTCTCTGTGTGTGCGTGCATGTGTGCGCGTGTATATACATGTATAGAGAGATAATATATGTGGGGGCCAGAGAGCAGGGTGCAGGGGGTGGAGTGCAGCTCAGGGCTTGGAGCCAGGACACTGCCCACTCTAGCCTGTCACCTGTCCCCTTCATGTTGGTGAGATAAAGGGAAATAGGTGGAGGGAAGGCTGCCCCAGTCTTGCACTGGTTCCTCTCCTCTTTGCAGGCAGGTTTTCCTGACGATAGGATAGATGATGGGTTTTCACCGCCATCTTCCTTGTACCCCTCTCTCCACCCTGCTTAGGCCAGGGGTGTGGCATTTATCTCTAGATGACTGTTCCCTAGGAGATGCCGTTCTTCCCTGCCTTGTTGGTGGGAAGGAGAGAGGAACCCACTCACTCTTACCAGCCCAGTGTTCAACTGATTCTCCCCCTCATCCTTAGATCTGTTCCTCAGGGGCTTGAGGGAGAGATGGAGACAGCAAGATCATGGTGTATGTTTGGGACCCAGAGTACTAGGGGGAGGGCCTTAGGTTTTCCAACTTCATCCTCTTTTTTGTTTTTTAGGAGAAAGTGAAGCATGTTCTATGCCCACGTTCCCATCCCCGCCGCATCCCTCCCAATCTTCTGACCTTGGGGACTGAGTGGCTTATCTGTCCTTTGTCAGAAGTTTCCTCACTCTAGTAGTCCTGCTAGCCTGACCAAGGCTGGCTGAGTGGGGAGTGGGGGTGACATAGCAGACCTCAAAATCAGTTCCCCTATTCTTCAGTTCTGTTTTTCTAGAAAGTCCAGGATGTGCTGAAGGATGGAAATTTTCTTTTCTGTTTCCAGACCCTCAGATCGTCCTGCTGTCCCTCCCACCTCCATCCCAGCAGCCTTCCCCTGCCCTCTTCACCCACTCGAATAAGTGCATATGGGGGTTAGAGTGGAGAAAACAGACCTCTGAAGTGGTTGTTGGTGCTGGTGGGATGCAGTGGTCTTCAGGGTCCTCCCCCTATTACCATGTAGTTGTTCAAAAGCTGCTGCTACTGCGCCTCTCTGTCTACAGGGGGCGCTTGTCCCTGAGGTCCTGACCTGTGGTTTCTGTGAAGCCGTGGCTTTTCTGTGGGCTCCTGTGTGTGCTGGCTGCGCCCTGAGCTCCAAGACGGCTGCCCATACCTTTCTGCTAGGTCAGGACCCAGGGCCCCCCACAGCATGGTTGAGAGATCCCTTCCCAGAAGGGCTGTCCCAAACCCCACCCAATGGGGCCAGACTTCCTGCCACCTTTGTCTACAACAGGCAGATCAATACCCTTTACCCCACCCCAGACTGAACTGTGAAAGAGAGGTTCCAGGGGTGTCTCCCTCAGTGCCAGTTCCTTAGTGATGTTTTACTTACCCAAGATGCAGTGGGTGTGTGCAGGTCTCTTGCTCTCTAGGCCTGTGTGTGTGTGTGTGTGTGTGTGTGGTGGTGGTGGTGGTGGTGGAGGGCGGGTGGGATGCTGGAGCTTCTATTTCATTTTAACATGTATTCATTCCCCTGACCCCACACATGCTTCCCTCCACACTTTTTTTCCCCCCTCTGTCTCTATTCCTCAGATTTCTTTGCTCCTGCTGCCTCTCTACCTGAGCTCTTTCCTTTGCTTTCTAACTCATTCAGTGCTGTTGCCTGTTTGTCTCCCCATTCCTTGTTTCTTTCCTACTTAGGATTCCCCACTCTATTATCTTTGTGGTCAGTGAGGACTTTGCCTCTTCTCCCACCTCACTCCTCTGACCCTCCCTAGTTAGATGCCAGTCCCAAATAGGTTTTCCTTATTTCAGGCCCACCCCAACTCGTTTTTGGGGGCTCCAGGGAGGGACCAAGGGGCTAAAGGTGTTAGGAAGCGGCCTTGGAGGTTGCGTTGGTGCTGCTCGAGATCTGTCCAGCAGGGGGCAGTAAGTGATCTTTCTAGTGTATCCCTTGCTGCTAGACCCTTGGCAGGGGTGGACCTTTCTACATTCCTATTCACCTACAAGTTCTTTTGGGATTGGGTGTTTCATTCCATTTTTACCCACTCCCGCCCTCACTCTCCTCTGATAGGTTTAATTTTATGCTTTCCTTTGTTGCAGCCTTTCTTCTCCCTGGGGAATTCTCCCACTTCTCCCCCAAAGTTTGTTTGTGGTGTTAATAGTGGTAACTGCAGTTCTGAACTGATTTTTCTCTTCTTTTTTCCTCCTCTGGAATGTAGACTGTATATGTTTAATAACTCACCTTCTCTCTCCTTGCTCAAAATGTGGGATACGCGATGACTGTGACCCTGGTTGGAAATTAAACTTGTTTTATGCAGCTTTGGAGCAGACTTTCATCCTTGATGTGCAGCAGCCATTGGACAGTGGTTTAATGGTGAGGGTAGTTCTGCCTCCTGTCCCTCTCTCCAGACTGCTCCTCAGCAGAGGGGTAAAGGGCACTCGGCTTTGAGGTTATGGAAGAACTTGGGCTCATCTCCACACTGCTTACTCCTTCCCATTATGCCCCAGAGTAGGGGGCCTACATGAATTGGGCACCAGAGCGTGAGGGCCTTGTGACTTTGCTCCTCTAGTTCTAAAGGGTTTAACCCTGAACTTAGCTATGTTTATCACCTGTTGTAGACTTTAGGGACTTCAATGGCTAGAGGGCCCTGAACTCTGAGTGCCTCATATTGCCTTTATTCTCAGATATCCCCAGCCCTGTGCATCAGGTGCTTCTGGTTGGAATAGGGTCCTGTCATCTATTGATTGGAGTCCCCTCACTCATTTGGTGCTGGACTTTGGCATTGAGTAAGCATGAAGGGTAAAGGTTTGGGTAATGTAATGATCTCGATCCTCCTTACAACTGATGGCTCTCCATTCCTGTACTTCAAGCGCTTAGATCCCTGTTGTCAGTATGCCAGCCTCATCCAGACATTCCACAAACATCTTGGGAAACAGACCTTTTTCATATAGCTTCCGTCCTCCCATATCCCACCACTACTCTCTTCCTCTCCTGCTACTATTGTCTGGCTTCAGGCAAAGAAAGGGATGGTGCTCCCTTGGGGTGGGTGAGGTCTGAGTGAGCCAGGCAGGCCTTCCTGACTCTTAACCACTTTCTTAGGCTTTGGGGGCAGAGGTTCTCCCACCCTGATGCTATGGGAGAGGGAAAGTATTAGGCATAGATAAGGCTGACAGCCCCAAGTACCAGTGTGTCATTTATATTCGGTTACCTTCCTGTTCGCTTTCCGATTTTCCTTTTCAGCCCCTCTCCTATTATTAAAATAAGCCATCACCCTCAAGGACCAGTGCTTCTGTCCTTATGAAACTCTTAAACTACAACCAGACATCCCTTTATCAACTCTGTGAACTTTGAACATTACCCACTTACCCTTCAAAATCAGATGAAACTTTCTTCCTTCCAGGCTCCTCAAAAGTCCTGCTTGATGATTGAGGTTACTGAGAAGTTAGGAACTCCTTTCCCAAGTTCATTTGTATACTAATAAATAGATACCATCTAGAGCTACAGCCTCTCATAAGATACTGACCATGGAGAGGACTTGAGCTGGTTGGCAGGCCAGTGGTGGTCTTTTGACCCCTGAACACATTTGGGAAAGAGGATGACCTAGTCCCTTCTGACCCTTAGCCCTCAGTTTAGAGGTGGAGGGAGCCCTCTTGTGGCAGTTGCTTAAACCTTCCAGCTTTTTTGGGGGTGGAAAGTGGAGGGATGAGGGGGGAGACTTAACCTGGAAGTTGTATGCTTAGCACCCAGCACTTGGGACAGACAGCAACCCCATCTTCTCAGAACATGAGTAACTCTTTAGTCATGACTTGTTAGGGGGCCTGGGCCCAGGGTCCACTTCAGGGCTATTTGGGCAAGGGAGCTTCCAAAATGAGCCTGGAGAAAACCAGTGGAAGGCCTTGGATTGGTCCAGGTGGGATGGAGAACAAAACTGTCCCCTTCCTTCCAGAGTATGGGGGCAGCCATGGGGAGAATGAGTGTGTGGGTATGTATGGAATTCTCAGACTAGTGGTGTAAGGTCTAAAGGCCCTGGCACTCTGGGGGTTCGCTGCATCACTTCCAGTTCAAGTGCCTAGATTGGTCAGAGCAGAAAATTGGCAGATATTTACTTAGTACTTTCTGTGTTTCCAGACCTGGTGCTAAGAATGAAGTCAAACCCTGTACTGAGGGGGAGACCTGGGAATCCATTTCTGGAATGCTCTGGAATCCTTTGGGATATCCATAGTGGGATAGTGACAGTTGGGGAATAGCTGTGTAGGGGCTCCCTTCCCTTTGCCGCCGCTTGGTGCAGAGAGTGGTGTCTTTGGGCAGGCAGTCGTAATACTAAGAACAGCCTCTTTTCCAGTTCTCTACTTTCTAATCTGGTAACTGGAGGGTGATAGGATCTAGATACCTTCCTTCCTCTGCAGGTTTTTCATTCTAATTGAGTTTCCTGGCCCTGGTTGCTGTGATGGGTAAGGATGACCCTGAGTTCCTGAGCAAAGGGTTAGGTCTAAGGAAATCCGAGCCTTGAGTATGGTAAAGGGGACAGTGCCACTGAAAGCAGTGGTTGGAGGTCTGGAAGTGAGGAACTAGAATTGGGACTGTTCACCATCAAGGCTTGAAGGTGAGTGTCTGCTTTTGTGTCACTTTGGCCATGGCCTGTAGAAGAGAATATCTGGGCTCTAGTTGAGCAAATCTGGCTTCTGAACTGAACATGGTGGAGTGGAAAGGATACTCAAGGCTATCTGTGCCCAGAGCTGAACAGTTCTACCCATCCACCCTTCCTTCCAACACTCTTCCTCCAAACCAGGTGTTGAGAGCTGTCTCTTAGGAGGTCAGTGCAGGCCAGGGAGGAGGCTTGAGAATGAACTTGTTCACCCAGCACCCGCCTCCTGCTCACCTCCACCTCCATCCCATACATTGTTGGGAGTCATTCTAGGACAGAATTGAGTACAGGGTCTTTTAAGGGTGGGGGGCTTAGCTTGGGGCTGTGAACCACAGGGATTTGGATGCTAGCTTCTGAGTTCTGATTATAGGAAAGAGAGGTGCTTTCTTGGTTTTAGGTAATAGGTGATGGGGAATCTCTGTTTTTGCTAATACCAGATCTTGCATTAATGGAATGATATCTCCCTGGCTACAACAGCCATGGCAGCGAGTATGGGGGGAATAGGGGGGGTCTGGGGGGGGCAGACACATAACACTCATTCTTGGATGAATGAGTGCATAACCATACCTGAAAAGAAAACATATAGTCAGCCAGGGTATGCATGCCCTTGAAAATATGGCATTAGATTTTGAACCCAGATTTGCATATACCGACTTACAGGCTTTTTATTAACAATCTGTTAAAAATAAACATTCAAAACATGAAAGAAGCTGTGCCCTGCTTACTACATGTATTGTGGCACATAATAGGCAGTCATCCTTGATGAATGAATAAACATCGTTGTCCTTAACCAAGCTGGGCATGGTGGGTGCCCCATGAGTTTTGGAAGTCAGGAGCTGCCATAGAGTATCTTATACTTGCCGACAGAGACACCTTTGAGGGTGGAAGCCTTTCCAGGAGTGGTCCTCTGATTAAGTTATGCTGCCAGTCAGGGTTGGGCCAGCTCCTCTACCTTTCCTAGAACCATTTCACCTTTCTCTGTCCTTCAGGTACCTCCTAACTTGATCCAAGGAGACAGCACCTTCCTCTCTGGTCCCTCCTGGGTCCAAGTGGGCTTGTGCTGCCCTCTGTGGGTGATCTTCTTATCTTAGTTTTGTTCTTTCCATTCCTACTACCACCCTCTTCACTTCACCCTCACTTCCTCTTCCCTTCAGATGCCCAGACAACCTCAGACCTGGACAGTGATCTCCCACCTTCATGACACCATTCCAATCAGCTGATGCATCAGTACAGTATGTACTGTCACCCCATCTCAGAAACCTCCCATGAATGCCTGCTGCCTCAGTCTGACATTCAAGGCTCTCCACAACGAGCTCTTACCTCTACTCTCCTGGCTAAATCCCTTACTTCAGTCAAACTGGTCGATTCATCTTCCCCCAAATATCTGGCCCTCTGTATTTATCCCCTTGCTCACTTTTTAGGAAATACCACTTTTCTTTAAGATACACAAAGCTGCCTATGGCCTCTCTAGTCACAAGGACTCTCCCCACCCCCAAATCTTAGCTCTGTTACCATAACTCATTCATCACCTCTCACACATTCTATTGTATTGCTTTACAGTCATGTGTCGCTTAATAGGCACTGGTGCCGCCTGTTGCTCCTAGGCTAAAAGCCTGTACAGCATGTTATTGTACAAAACAGCATGAGATTAAATCAGACAGAAGAGAAAATGATGCCATCAAGAGACGGGATAAGCAGGAGACGTCTGAGGCTGCTGCTGGTGTAGCATGGCATACTGTTTCACAGCAAACTTTTTTTATAAGTAGAACACACTCTAAAATCATGATAAAAAGTCTAATATAGTAGATACATAAGCCAGTAACAGTCATTTGTTATCAAGTGTTATGTACTGTACATAATTGTATGTGCTGTGCTTTCATACGCTGGTAGTGCAGTCAGTTTGTTTACACCGGCATCCCCACAAGCGTGAGTAATGTGTTGGGCTATGACATTAGGACAGCTGTGATGTCTACGACGTCACTAGGCGATAGGACATTTTCAGCTCCATTATAATTTTATGGGACCGCTGTCGTATATGCAGTCTGTCGTTGACTGAAATGTCATGATGTGGCACAGGACCGTATATCATGTTCGTTTACTTAATATTTAATTTTAAAGTTGTTTTTGTAACCAAGATAATTTTTATTGTAAAAGATTCAAACAACACATACATATACAAAACAACATGTGGAACCTGTTCTCTATTCTCCCACCCTCAGCTATTTGGTGTGTACCTTTCTAGTTCCTTTGCTAAATACACTACACACATTTGAGGAGAGATTAAGATATTAAAGGGGCTCATCACATCTATTCTTGCTTTTTTAAACTTAAGAATATATACATTTGTCTTAGAGAGTTTCCATATTAATGTAGTTAGATCTTCCTTTTTAATGGTTTCTCAGTATTTCATGGTATATTTATTCAAAATAAAACATTTGTCTAGAAGCTTATATGGAGGGTATTGTGCAGCTAGTACCTGGGGGACTCTGGACATGATCACAACCTTGTCCTTGCCAGCAGTGAGCTGGCTCTTTTGAGGAGATGGGGAGGGAAGACTGGGGCATACACAAATAACTGCAACACAAGGAAAAATACAACAGTGTCCCCAAGTGTATGCCTGAAGTTCAGAAATAAGGGAAGTCACTTCTAGCTCAGAGAATCCCCTAGAGGGAGCTTGATGGGTGAAAGAAGAGCCTGAGCCTCGGCACAGAGATGAAAACACTTGATACAGGTTTATCTGATGCCACACCACAGTCCATAAGCAGGAAAGGGATTTGGTTGAATTCATAAACATTTATTGACCATCTATGTATCGGATACTGTACTAGATACTGAGAATAGAGAAATGAGAAAGATGAGATACCTGTCTTTTAAGGGCTTTCAGTTGAAGGAAATAAAAGCCAACTTTGGAAAGACAGATTAGGACCAGAGGATGCACGCTTTCAGTTGGCATGTTGGGGAGTCTGAAGTCCATTCATTGGGCCATGTGGAGCCAGGGCAGGCTTTTTAGTGGGCAGGTGATGTGACTGAAGTTGAGCAGATGCAGCAGTGTACAGAATGGGCTAGAGTAGGGAGAGGCTGGGGATGAGGAGTTTGCTAACTTTCCTTTTTTTAAAAAAACAAGATAGAAGTTAGCAGGTGTCTAATGGTAGGCAGTCCAGGACTGGCATGGTGGTTCGAAAATTATCAGGGACATAAGCTTTTATCTTCTCACTTCAAGATCCTGGCACACAGCTTCCATCTTCATGGTCACCTCACCGTCCAATGTGGCTGCGAGAGCATAATTCATCTCATCAACATTCCAGGCAGCAGAAAGAAGGAAGGGAAGGAGATTGGGAGAAGGGGGAGGAGCACATAATGACACACTTCTTAGCTAAGTTAACTTCCTTTAAGGAGCTTTTCTGGAAGTCCAGGACAGTATTTCCAACACTTATTGGCCAGAACTTAGTCACATAGCCTTATCCAGTTTAAGGGAGACTTGGAAGTGTAGTTTTGTTTGTGTTTGTTTTTTAAAGTTTTTCCCTTTTTAAAAAAAATGAGGTATCATCTGCATGCAGTGAAATGCAAAGATCTTAAACACACAGTTTGATAAGTTCTGACAAATGCATATACCCATGTAATCCACATCCCCTTCAAGATATTGAGCATTTCATCACCCCCAGAAATTCCCTCCATCTGAGGTGCTTTGTTTTTTTGTTTGTTTTGGTTTGGTTTGGTTTCTTTTTGTAACAACCTAAAGGAGATGGCTTAATTAGGGTGGCAGCCTTGGGAATGGAAAGAGCTGGAGAGGCTGTGGTGGAGGAAGAATCCAAAGGAGACTGGATATGGAAGATGAGAGAAGAAATCAGAATGCAGATGGCAGAGCCACTAATAGAAACTGGAAGTTGGGAATGAAGTCTAGATTGTTGCAGATAAGATAGAAGAAGAAAAAGGGATGAGTACTCTATTGGGTGTGTTGATCTGAGGTGCTGATAAACATCCAGGTGGAGATACCCAGTAGGCAGTTCTGTCTAAAGCCTGAGAGGGCAGTCAGAGCTCAGTGGCATCAAATACCAGACAGATGCTAAAAGAGGGCAGGGGACCAAGAAATGACCCAGGAATTTGGTGACTGGGAGCTCACTGATGACTTTTGAGGGAGCAGAATCCAGATGCCAAGGTCTGAGCGGGCAGTGAGGGTTAAAATCTTGCAGAACAGGAACCGGTAGTCACCTGAAATAATTTTAAATCCTTTTTAAAAACTGAAGTCCTTGTAAAAACATAATGGGGTTGTATGTAGCTGCCCTTTAGAGAAGTTTTTGATGTAAGGAGAAAGGAAACGGTAGTGTCAGGGAAAGATCAGGGATTGACGCCCTCCTTACCGGGAAATAGCCCTTTGCTCTTTTCAACCAGCTTTCTAAAGGACAGCTCCCTGCCTCCTTTTGGATATATGATCTCCAGAAATTCAAGCTGAAGGGGTGGAGATGGGAGAGGGATGCTGCCTTTGACAACTGCTGAGGTGGGATGGGTCAGCCAGACACTGCTAGGATAGGTGTGAGGAGACGCGTATATTTCAGGCAAGAGCAGAGAGCAAACACGTGGGATTCTGGCAGTCTTGGGTTTGAATCCTGACCCTGTCACCACCTAACTAGATGACCTTGGGCAAGTTACTTACCCTGAACACCCAGTTCGTCATCTGTAAAATGGAAACAATTATGCCTACCTTTCAGGGTGGTTTTGAGGATTACAGAAAAGTGCCTGTCACGCAGGAGATGGTCATAAATGGGTGCTATTATGTGACCTAGCCCCTCGCTATGGGACAGAATGGCTAAGGGAGGGACTGACGAGTCAGAATCCACGACCTCCCTATCTGAGAGGGTAGGGGGGGCTCCCCGCAGCCTCCTCCCTCCAGGAGGTGGGGACAAGGTGGAGGAAGGGCTGCAGGAGGAGGAGCTGGTGCGTCGCGACCCGCCCCCGTCCAGTCTGGCCTAGGCACCGTGGGATCTGCTGTCCTAGCCACCGCTACCCGCGCAGCCTGTCCTGGTCCCTCACGCCCTGCCCCGTGTCCAGTCATGACCCTGCTCCCGTCACTACTCCCGCTCTGTCTGCTGCCGCTGCTGCTGCTCAGCGGCGTGGTGTGCCAGGCTGAGACTGGGTTCGAAACCGAAAGTCCTGTCCGGACCCTCCAAGTGGAGACCCTGGTGAGGAGATTGTCCGGGTCCGCGGGGGCCGGGCCTTGTGCGGGAATATGGGTCTAAAGGAACCTGCGAGCAGGGAGGAGAGGAAATATGGGAACTGAGTTGGGGGGGTACCGGGTCTAGGGGCAAGAACAGAATCTTTGGAGGATCCTCCGTGACTCCTGTAGTCGGATCGATCGTAGGTGGAGCCCCCCGAACCGTGTGCGGAGCCCGCTGCCTTTGGAGACACGCTTCACATACACTACACGGTGAGGGGTCTGGGGGACCGGGGCGGGGCCTGGGAGGGGGCGGTGCCCTGATGAACACGTCAGCTTTGGCTTGGACACGTGGCAAGCAGTTCGGGAGTAACTCAGGGCACTGGGGTCTTCGAGCACGTGGCGGGGGAGGCGCGCTCTTCCCTGCGCATTTCCCCTCCCTGCTTTTCCTCCAGTTCCTCCTGGGCACTGAGAAATGAAAGGTGGAGAGATCTCCGAGAAGTGCCAACCCTCAGGGGCTTCCTGTTCCTTTCAGCCTGGAGGGGAGTGCTAGGCTGCAGCTGCTAGGGGTTGCCCCGCCCAGCGGCCCAGGTGTGTGTTGCCCCGGCAGGAGGGAGAAGTACTAGGTGTGCACTCTGAATGCTCTCCCCCCCACCCCCCCAGGGCAGCTTGGTAGATGGACGCGTTATTGACACTTCCCTGACCAGAGACCCTCTGGTTATAGAACTTGGCCAAAAGCAGGTGATCCCAGGTATGTGACCCTTACCTCCCATTCCTCCTCTTCTCAGAGTAAGCGCTTTCTTAACCTCTTCAACCCCTCAGCTACCTTGGAAATAGCCCCTCGGGAATTAGTGAGACCGCAGGTCTCCACTAGTCACCTTCTGAGGTTCAAACCCCACTTCTAATACTGCTCTCGCCCCATACCCTACTGAAAGCCAGAGATTTGAGAAGCAGGTTGCTCAACCAAGGGTCAAAGGGGAGCTTTTGATCTCCTCTCCTGGGATTTGGGGAATGTAGGTAGCTTCCTGTTCAGTGGTGTCTTCTTCCTCAAGGTCTGGAGCAGAGCCTTCTAGACATGTGTGTGGGGTGAGTATCTGGGCAGGGGTGGGTTGGGAACCTGCTTTGCATGGGTAGAGGTTTTTTCTGCTATCCCTACTCTGAGAGGAGGCAGGAGGACATGGGATAAAGGGCCCTGGCTTTGTACTGGGCAGGTCCAGGTCATTGGAACCCCTAAGGGCATTCAAAGCCTCTGTGCCTCTCTGGCTGTGGGATTTGTTGGAGGACTTGAGGCATGTGGGGGATGGACACCTTTGCTGGTCCACCTGTTTGGTACCAGGTGGGAAAGTTCATGTTTTGGGTGTGAATATTCAGAGGATTTTGCTGGTGGGGCTTCAGATGGACTGAGGCTGTTGGCCCACCTGGTCCCACCTCTGGCTATAACTTACATTCTTTCCCTTAGAGAGAAGCGAAGGGCAATTATTCCTTCCCACTTGGCCTATGGAAAACGGGGCTTTCCACCATCTATCCCAGGTAATCTGACTAGACCTCTCTCAGACCATCAAAATACCTAGTCCCTAAGAGCTACAGAGCTACACAATTTGTCTGGAGCTTGAGGTCTAAACTTAGTTTGCTAAAAGGAACAGGAGTGGGTAGGGCTTCCTAAAGGGGCACTTTTTCCCTCCTCAGATCACCACAGGAACTAGAGACACAGAACCAGTTAAAGTTACCTGGCTTGCCCTCTGGCAGCCAGCAGCTTTTTAGGGAGGAGACACCTGCTTGTGCCACAAGGGTCACCCTTCCCAGAACTCTGGACTTCTTTCCTGCCTTTTTCTTACAATTCCACTGTCATTTGTGCAGTTGGCATGGCTTCTCAGCACATCTCCACCCTTCCTTTCAGTCTTCATCAGAGAAGAGATAGTAAAAATGATCATAGTCAAGTAATTCAAAACAAAATGCAATAAACCAAAACAAACAAACAAACAAAATAACAACAACTTTTAAAAGCCAGGCCCACCCCATAACTTTGAAAGCCCTCACAGGTCACTGCTGATATCTACCCTTCTTGAAGGCCTGAGACCGGACAGATTTCCTGAAATGTGTACCTCTTTTGGTTATAATAAATGTTCTATTAGCTAAAATGTGTTGTACTTCAGAGTATTGGGGTAAAAGTTCTTATCCCAGTTCCAGCTTAGAGGGAGACCTGGAAAGAGGGTAGGGGAGCTAAAGAGAAACAAAGTCTTACCCAAGCACTATTACCTCATGCTTTCCAGAGCTGCTTCTGCCTGCATTTCTCCCCCCGACCCTCCACTCATCCTCCCCCACTTCTTTCTTAAGACACATCCTTCTTCTTTTCCAGCTCATATGTTGAAACACCTATCTGTTTTAACAGTCGTATTGAGTGTGTTTATTGGTTGGTGGAATTTTTAAAAGTCTAGTTTAAACCCAATTAATTTCAGCCCTGCAAAGATTGTATCCATGTGGCTATTTGGAAATGGAGTACAGTTAGAATTGAGGTTTCTCCCACCAATAAGTGGAGAGCAGCATGTACATTTCAGATACACAGAAAGTTTTCCTGTGCTGTTAAAGACCTATCGTGGAACACAAGCCACACTTGTATTATCTGGGGTGAACATGACTATCTCTAGACTCTGCTCAAACCCATCTCTGCCTTTGTCTAAGGGAACTCAGCCCCACATTTAAATCTTGCCAGTTTCACAGTTGTTGCTCTGGTGTGGCCTGCCCTCCCTATTTTCATTCAGACTCAGAGTCCTGGGTAAATTCAGAGATCCTAACCTTTGCCTCCTCTCTGCCTCCAGCGGATGCAGTGCTGCAGTTCGACGTGGAGCTGATTGCACTGATCCGAGCTAACTACTGGCAAAAGCTGGTGAAGAGCATTTTGCCTCTGGTAGGCATGGCCATGGTGCCAGCCCTTCTGAGCCTCATTGGGTATCACCTATACAAAAAGGCCAACAGACCTAAGGTCTCCAAAAAGAAGCTCAAAGAAGAGAAACGAAACAAGAGCAAAAAGAAGTAATAAATAATAATAATTAATAAATAAAAAAAAACTTCTTTGCATTCTTCACCTGATCCTTTCTGAGGCTACTTTTGGAAGTGCGAATGAGGTAAAGGGCTGGGGAAAGGCATTCTGAGATGCATCTTCCCTGGCATGAGGGTGGCTGGAGGCTTTAGATCATCTCTTCTGCTCACCTCCTTTTCCCGTCCTAACTGACCCCAAGGACCTGATCTTAAATCTTCCCATAGGATCTCTAGGTCCTGAAGGTATGGGTTTGGGCTCCCATGGTGCCCTGACTCCAGGAGCAACGCCTCGTTGAGAAATAAAGCCTCCTGGTAGTTGCCTAGCTATTCTCGTCCATATCCTGGGACCGCTATATTCCTAGTGTCCTCAGAGTAGACTGCTCTGTCCAGTATGGCAAAGATATAAGGAGCTCAGGAACTCCATGGGCATTTTTAATAGCAAAGTCCTCGGGGGTCTCAAAAAATTCTCTGGGGGTTGAAAAGAGATTTTCTTGTATCACAGGATGTGGGAGATCACGTGGGCTGCTTCTATGATGTTGTACGTGGTTGGAGGTTTTTTGTCACCTGGCTGGGTTGCAGGTGTGGGCAAGGGCTGGGGTAAGTTGCTTCGATGGTTGACGATGAACAGTGGGTTGAGCTGGCTCAGCACTTCATCACTCACGGAGATGCCATCCAAGTACTGCTTGAGCATCTCCCGCAGCTTCTCGTTGATTTCTAACAACTGGGCATGTCTATGTCGGAGGCTCAGTTGCTCCAGTTTCACTTTGTTGTACCTTTTCCAGAAATTCTCCATCCCTTTGTAGTCCGCTATCACCTGGGAGTTGAGTTAAAGGGAGAAGGTGTGTGGTGAGGCCCATTAGCAAATACAGCCCCGTGCCCTGTCATCCCCACCTCTGAGCCTTGGCCTCTAGGCCCTAGGAACTTTACCTTTGCCAGCTCCTCAGTAAGGTTTTCTGGGTGAATTTCCTCTCTCTTCGTCTGCTCCTCGGGAGTCAATGTTGAATAAAAAGGCAGCACTTTTTCTTCCTCTGTTTCAAATTTCCTACATATTTCTGCCAGTTTAAGGATCTTTTCACCCTGATGGAAAGAGGAAGAGAACTTTTGTTAGGAAAGGGAGTGAGGAGGAGGAATAGTAGAGTTGGTTCCCCTGCTTGAGCCAAGGGAGATACTCATTTATCCAAGTGGGAGACAAGAGTAATACATACGCTAACACAGAGTGCTTACTGTGTGCCAACCACTATTCCAAGTATTTTATGTTCTTAAAAAATTCATTATCAGTTTAATATAAAATGTGAGAGGGGGAGGGAATATGGAATAAAAAAAGGTATTCCAGGGCCGGCCGAGTGGCACGTTGGTTAAGAGCTGGCTTGGGACGCCAGAGGGTCCCAGTTTGGATCCCACATGTGAGGGCCAGTGACACTGCCCTCTACAGCTAAGATGCTGAACAACATGCCAACCTGGAGCTGGGCTGCCATGAGTTGCTGGCGATGGCGTGGACTGCAGCCCCTGCTGCAGTGGGTTGCCATAGGCTACCGTGTGTAGCCAGCAGCCAGCATGAGCGGCCAGCAGTGGCTGTGAGCGGCTGTCCAGAAGCCGGCGACTGATCGGCCTCACCCAGGAAGAGCACAATGATGGTGCCAACTTGGGCCAGTGAAGCAACCTCCTCCACAACTACAACTAGACTGAAGAACAAAAGGACAGCAACTTGTCTGTTCCCCTTCCCCCAATTCCCCAGCGCTGTTCCCATCCCCCAATTCCCCAATAAAATTCTTAAAAAAAAAATGTATTCCAAGTGTTCATTCAGGCAGGAAACAGGAGAAAGCCTCCTCTACAGCTCTCAAACCCCTTTAACTTCCCAGGGAGTCCGGCTCCTTGGTTTTGTTTGGACCACCCCTTCCCCTTGGTTACCTTATCGACAATCTTTCTCAGGGCCTTGATGGTGGCATTACTTTCCAGAGTGAGTTTGACTAAGTTCTCCTGTGATGTTTCCCGGACCTGAGTCCTTTGGGCCTTAAGTTTTCGCAGTTGTACAAGGATCAACTCCTTGTCATCACGGACGTACTGGTTCTGTTCTTCACTCTCACGGCAGTGCACCATGATCTTGCCTTTTAAAATACTTATGGAATCCTGGAGAAACAGAGGAGAGGAAACAGTTGACCAGCTGAGGGTCTAAAGGGAGACGGGCAAAAGGACTGTCTGGAGACTGAAATCAAAGCATATCCTCTTTTCCCATCCAGTCATGAGGCCCCGTGGAAACTGGGGGAGGATGAACAGGGGATAATGGAGCAATTAAAGCAGTGAGTGTTTCTGGCTGGCTGCACTAACCTGTAGTCTCTGTATTTTTTTCATCTGTGCTTCAATCTCTTTGGAGCTCTTCTCATCCTTCACCCTCAGGGTCTCGAAGGCAACCTTTCGATCCTCTGTGGCATCAGTGTAACTCTTGAGTGCATCCTGGAACCTTCTCCACAGATCTTCTACTACATTCTCCAGTTTCAGTCTTAGAAAGTGCTTCTCTTCTAAATTCTAGGAAGTGGCCCCAAATAGTTAGTGCTTGTCCTATTAGTGTCCTTTCACTCCCACCATCAACCTTACCCTCTTGCACTATTTATAGCATAGTTCAATGCAAGGGTCGCCAATGAAAATGCCTACAAAGACCAGGCAGATGATATAAATCAGTGCTGTGGGTTAGATGGGGCTAGATGGGGCCTGTGGTGAACCAGTGAGGAAATACTCTTTTGGGGGGTGGGAGGCAGAGAGGAACAGCTGCTTGGCCCCACATGAATGTCTCCATTTGGAAATATGACCCAGTATTAGCCGGTCTTTAAATTTTTCAAGGGAAGCTAAAAATTTTGATTTTTATGGGAAATCTCCTGATTTTTTAATGTAGAAACCTTATGAAAATGTTTTACAAAACATGGGCAAAATAAAAACAAAGAACCCCATACCCAAACCCAGGTCTGCAGGCTGGCTAAGTTTGAACCCTCCACGATGGTGAAAGGAAAGCACTACGGGCCAAGGGGCAGGAGACTGGCTTCTCCTCCTCGCTCCACCACAAACCAGCAGCATGACTTAGATAGGTCATTTTACTTTGGGGGAGGTGGGGGAGGGACCTTAGTTTCTTCATCTGCAAGTCACAGGGGTGAAGCCAGATGATCTCCTTGTTGCTTTTTAGCTCTAAAATGCATGTCTTTAACATTTCAGAAGGGTCCTCCCTCCTGACCAATTTTCACGAAAGTACAAAAGGCAGTAGGGAGACCTACAGTGGCAACAGGCATTTTCTTGATCATGTTGGTTAAAGAGATCTCTTCTAGCTCTAGTAGCCTTGAGAATTTTTCTCTCCCAGTTCTTGCCCATCTGCCCTCCCTCTGTACCTTGTTTTTAAGATCGTCCCACATGCTCTGGAACTCCAGCTTGCCTTCATACTCAGAATCTATATAGTTCTGCTCCATGGCCATGAAGACATCTTGTAGGTAGCGAATCTCTTTTTCGTGCTGGTCAATAATTGCTTTCCTGTAGAAGATAAGATACTGTCCCTGCTCTGAGGGATAAAGCATATGGACCAATAATGACAACTCAAAGCAATTTGTAATAAAATTATATGAATGGTAGAAACTCTTAGGTACTGAAGGAGAATAGAGCGAGGGCAGACTCTATTCTTTTTAGAGCCAAAAAGAATGAATAAGATTATTTTATTTTGATTTTTGAATAGGTAAAATATTCATATGATATAAAAATCACAAAGTATAAAGGGTTACAGTGAGAAGTCTTCCCATCCCTGTCCCCTGCCATACGGGTAGAATTTTGATAGCTGAAAGGGGGTGGTGATGGCATTCCAGATAGGGACCTGGCATGGGCAAAGGGAGGCTAAGGCTACAAGCTTAAACCTGAGTTAGTTTAGAAGGAACTCAGGATCTTTTCTACTGAGGGGTCATGTCATAATCAAGGTGGGATGCCCCAGGGTGCTGGCCACTTGCTTACAGACAGCTCCTTGACATAGGCTTTGGATACCCCCCTGGACTCAAGACCCCATACCTTTCTGTCTCGAACTCCTTGGTTAGGGTCTCTAGTTCCATGTTGTAATTTTCCTCTAAGAGGTTGAGTCGCCACCTCTGCAGGGCCAACAGCTGATCAACGTTGTGCAAGTGGCTGCGCAGGGCATGGGCATACTGTTCCTCGGCTTCTGACAGGTCCTTAGCTAAAGACTGGGTAGGAAACAGAGTTACCATTTTGGCTGGATGGCTTCTGTGTGAGAAAAGAAAAATGTAATCCAGCTGGCTAGCTGGATGACGTGATTGACATTTTCCCTTTGTTTCTAATGCCAATTCTTTGGCTCTAAGAGTGCTGGTTCTCCCACTCTTGAATGTGAAATAAGAGTGACATCAGGGAACCCCATGTGGCCACCATGTGTCCTAGGGACAACAAACATTTACAATGATGGGGCTACCACTAAAAGGAACCAGGAATTCTTGGAGAAAGGGCTGCTTCGAGGTCTGAGGCAAAAATAAACAAGTTGAACCTAGAGTATCTTGTCAGGCAAAAGAAGGAATCAATCATGTATCCTGCCTTTCTTATGTACACTGTACCTTTGGGTAAATGATGGGAAGTATCTCTTTATAGAAGTATTCAAGCTAATAAATGAAAAATGGTATCATTAGAAATCAGCATTTTGCAACCCCCAGTGAATTAATGGATAACCAACAGCTGCTAACATCACAAAAAGAGAGATAATGGAAGAACACAACACCTCAAAGCTTCTAGATCCAATTACCAAGATATAGGAAATACAGATGACAAAGTAACATATGAAACTACAATACAGAATACTATGCAGTCGTAAAACAACAAAAGAAGCTTTTTGTGGGCTAATGTGGAATAATCCCCAAGACATGTTAAGTGAAAAAGGCAAGGGGCATAACAGTATGGAGTACTACCATTTGTGTAAAAAAAGGGTTTACTCATGAAACTAAAATTATTAGGAGGGGCATGGGTGGCTGGAAGGCACCAGTGGGAGGGAACTTTCCTCTATATAATTTCTTATCTTTTTAATTTTGAATAAGGTGAATGTATTACCATATCCCATATGATCCAGACACCGTGAGTCCACTCACTGTAAACTACCACAGCCTCCATGCAGAGCTTGCTTGTACCTTACATGTTTAGCATGAAAAAGGATTGTATGAAATAGGCTCTGAAAATGGAAGGCTATTCACTCTCTCAATGAATGTTTACTCAACCTGCTGTGTGCCAGCACTGTGCTGGAAGTTGAGGATTCAGATTAAAAGGCATGCTCACTGCCCTCAAAAGAGCCTGTAGTCTTGCGGTAGGAAAGGAGTTACATAAACAGAACATTACAGTATAACATGGAAATTGCTAAGAGGTTAATGACTTACCAGTGACAACGAGACATAAATGACTGAGTGCCTACATCTAACTAAGAGCACTGGGAAAGCTTCACAGAAGAAGTCTTTTGTATTACACTTGAAGGAGGAGTGAGAGTTTGCCAGGAAGACGGGGAAAAGAAAATTCCGGGTAGAGGGAACAGCATATGTAAAGACAGAGGTAAGAAACAAGGCTGTTTGTGTGAAAGGTACAGATAGAGGCCAGATCACGAAGGGCTTTGATGTTCTTCCCATGGAGTTTGGAGTTTTTCCTGTGGATGAGGGGAGTCACAAAGGAGATTTAAGCAGTGGAGTAACAGCATCAGAGTTTTTGTTTTAGAAAGATAATCTGGTAGTTGTGTAAACAATCATCTGAAGGTCATTGGGCATGAAGGCTGGAATGTAGGGAACTGTTGCAATAGTCCATATGAGAGATAGTGCCCAGGACTCAACTACAGCAGGACAGTGGGGAAATAGAGCAGGGGATGGCTTTGAAAAATACTTAAGCAGATTTCTATGAGACTTAGAAACAGAAGTCCCAAAACCTAGGATGATTCCCAGATTTCTGGGCTGGGTGATTTGGTAAATGGCACCAGCCACCTAAATAGAGAGTATAAGGCAGACCAGATTGTGGAGTATGGGGAATGGGGCTAGCCAGGGAAGGGGAAGCCCATGAGTTCAGTTGTGAGGAAAGTACAATAGCAACTGGTAGGAACAGATATCTAGGAAGTTTGAATATAAGGACGTAGAACTCAAGAGAAAAATCCAGGCTAGTGTTACAGACCTTGGAGTCAACAATACTCATATATAAGGGGTATTTAAAGTCAGGGTAATGAGTAAAATGGTCTAGACTCTAGATGCCTGGTTAAAGGGTGAGGTGGTCAGACTTGGAAACCTGGGAAACACTGAAGTTCAGGGGATGGAGAAAGGAAGATGAACTCACAAAGGGGACTGGATGTATATATTTCAGAGGCAGGAGAAAAGCCAGGAAAGAATGATGTCATGGAAACCAAAGGGGAGTTTCAAGAAGGAGAGCATGATCAAGAGTGTCAGTGTCATAGAGAAGTCAGGTTAGATGACAACTAAATGATAAAAAAAGTATCCATGAGTTGGGCCTGGTGGTCTTTACAAGAGCAGTTTCCTAATGAAGGGTAGAAATCAGATGTTGTGGGATGCAGAACAAATGGGAAGTGAAGTGGAGATAGCAAGTGAGGATCACTGACATTTGCACATTTAACATGTACAGTTTCAGTCATTCTGGGCCAGCTGAGTTGCTCAGTTGGTTAAGAGTTGGCTTAAGAGCATGAGCTCTGATCAACAGGGCCGCCGGTTCGATTCCCACATGGGCCAGTGATGCTATGCCCGAGCTGAGCTGTTGCTGAGCTGCCAGGTAGCAGGATGGCTCAGCTGGTGTATCAATAAGATTGCCTGTTCGATGGTGGGCTATGCCCACTTGCAACTAAGACTGAACACAGCACCTTGAGCTTAGAGGCCACAAGCTGCTGACGGGAAGCCAGATGGCGACTGGCACCCTCCACAACGAAGACTGAAGAACAACAACTTGGCTGGTCCCCTTTCCCAATTCCCCAACACTGTTCCTTTTCCCCAATTCCCCAATAAAAATCTTAAAAAAAATTGGCCCTGATGATAAATTAAAAAAAGAAAAATGACCCTGAAGGTGTTTAATATTAGCAATGTGTGATTTACCAAAAAGGAAGGACTGTAATCATTAGCTGCAAAGCTATTGTATAAGAAGAAGCTAATTGGCTCAAGGGTAAGCCTGGCCACTGGTCAGCATCCCTAAATGACCACTGCTGTTTCTATTCTCAGCAAGTATTTGATAATTTCCAGTAAGGGTCTGAAGATGTCACTTAAAAAGCCATGTGGTATAACTGGTGGGGTGAGGAATTATGATGGTTTTGCAAATTTGGGACTCTTAATATGTATCCTTGAAGCTGCCCAAGGTCTACTGAAGTTTTTCCCCCCAGAGGGTTTAGGCTGTGAGGAAAGATGTGTGTTTTCTAGAGGGGGAATGTCAGGTTGACAATATTATTTTGCTGTTAATGTGGGTTTTTTGCTTTAAGATAGAAAAGACTATGGAGAAGGAGTCAGTAAACAGGTTAAAAATAGAATGAAAGAAGGAATACAGCAAAATTCCTTAGAACAAAAGATGGTATGGACTCAAGAACCTCCCAAGAGCATAAGGGTGGCTGATTTAATTGCTTAGAAATCCAGAACTGCTCTTACCCATGGCAATCTTCTCAGCCTTATCCAGAGTCACTGAAGTTGAATCAAAGAGGCCAAATAGAATTTGGTTGAAAAAGTAATGGAGTGGGAATCAAGAAACCCATGTTTTAGTCCCAGCTATCTTACTGACTAGCTGTGTGACCTTGGGCAAGCCAATTTCTCCTTCTGGAACCGAATCTTCTCACACTGAAATGAAGATATGGCACCAAGTTCAAATCCTTGGGTGATGTCTACTGTGCCTTATAACTCTAATATTGTATTGTATAGTACTGGTTGGGGGCAGTGGATGACTAAAGAGAATGGCTCCTCTAAGAGAAAGGAAGTGACAGCCCAATGTTCTATTTTTCATTTCCGTGAAAACTGTTATTACAAATAGCCTGGCTTTCTTCACAGCCTGCTTCTTGTAAGGGCTTTAAGATTGAGTAATTAATTGATTTTCTAGGCCCATTCTATTAAGAGAAGAGATCAAGACAGCCATATTCAAGCATTTCCTTGGGAAGAACACCTACCTTGATGACACTGTCCTTGCAGTCCACCACTCGTTCAAATGTTTGGCTAAGTATCTCAATGTCTTTACGAAGCTCTCTGGTCTTAACTTCTCGAAGAACAGTTCTCCACTGTGTGTTAATCTTATTAAGGTTCAGAGCACTGTTGTGCTCTTCCTTGGCCAGCTTGTCCTGTGTGAAGGATTAAATGCAACCCCAGGAGGTCAGGGCCAAAAGCCCTGATAAAACAAAGATCACACTTAGTTTGTCAACTGACACCTTACCGCTTTGTCTTTTCTGAAGGACCAAAGCTCCTGATGGCTAACACTCTGGGAGTTCCAGTTCTTGTTTTGGGAGGGTGTCAAGTAAGACAGGAACAGCCCCATGGCATTTTAAGGAGGGCAAGGGTGAACTTTCTTTAGGGTGGAGGCATCAGAGCAGGATGCTGTTTGTAATGACCCATCTCCAGGGAGAATATCAGAATTTCAAACAGCTGGGACAGCTGATAGCACCTACTGTCCCAGTTCTGGGGCTGAGTTGTGACTGCCAGGCTCTACATCACTGACCCATGCGTCACAGAGAACTGCCTCTCCTCCCAAACAATGTTGCCTGTGATCTAAGTATATTTGGGTCTCAAGATTCCTGGAGGAGGGGAGACCAGCATGAAAATGAGGCTACCACAGGGTCAAGGAGACAGGGCCAGCACAGGGGGTAGGTAGGTGGGGTTGAGCAGGGAATCATGCAGAAAGCCATCACCTTCAAGAACTGGCTCAGGAGTCGCTCCTTCTTCTTAATCGTCTCCTCCTCTGCCAGCAACTTCTGCTGAAACAGAAGCAGCTGCTCCTCATCGGACAGATTCGTCTTGGACTTTTTCCCTTTCTTCGGCATAGCTGGGTAAAAGACTCGATCTGGGCAAGGTTCCTCGTTCCGCCACAGCCAGTGCTAGAGGGGGTAAGAAGAAAACGCCTCCAGAAAGAGGACTCTGAAACTGCTCCTGAACAGTAGTGGGACCTTAGGTCTCAGTCCTCGGGCGAGACAGAGCCTGAAATAGCAGGGAGGCAGGGCTCTCAAGCCAAAGGACGCATCTCCGTCTCCTAGCAACGGGATCTCGTTAAGATGGCGCTGTGAGAAACTCACGGGGAGAGGCCTGGCTTGGAGCGTCCTCTCCCGGCTGGAGAACTGCAGTCTTTTTTTTTTTTTTTTTAGAGAGAGAGAGAGAGAGAGAGAGTAGTTTTACCTCTCAAAATCCGTAGCCTCCTAACTGAACCTTTTAAAATTCTTTTTTGTGTGTGTGTTTTTCATAGACTGGCCATAATTTAAAATACAGATAATAAGTTTGGAGAAAATATGGAGAAATGGAACCCTCATACATTGCTAAAATGGTGCAGCCACTTTGGAGACAGTTTAGCAGTTCCTCCCTCCCTCCCTTCCTTCCTTCCTTTCATCTAATTGGCTTTATTGAACAATTCATGAATTGGGCAGCATCCCATCTGGTAAATAGAGTTACTCCAGCAGTTTCTTAAAATGTTAAACATAAATTTACTATACAATCCAGCCATTTTACTCTTGGATATCAGTCTAAGCTATCTAACTACAGATAACTGCTACAAAGTGGAAGAACCTCAAAAATATGCTCAGCGAAAGAAACCAGATGTAAGAGACTACATATTGGAAGGTTCCATTTATATGAAATATCCGAAACAATGTAGAAACACTGTGTGCAGAGAAGACAAATGTATATCTAGAGTATTCCAATAAGAACAAAACACTGCCCCTTCCATGATGGAAGTGGTCCAGTGAATCAACCCTTCACCCAGGGGAATGGTACCATGTAGGGGGCCCAGTTGGTCTCTGTTGCTGGCTGATTGGGCACTCAGTGACTGCCATAGCCATGTTGGCCTTGGTGAGTGAAAGTCCATGTTGCCGAGTCCATGCACAACCTCCAACCCTGCCACGAGGGCCTCTTTGTTGAGCCCAGTGAGCAATGACAGGAGTGGCTGGGAAAAGAGACGGACTAGTATGTACAGAATGGGTCATCCTATCCACTTGATTATTAAAATCCTCCTCTGCTGAGGTCACCCCCATTCACATGGAACACAAATATCATCACATTTTTTGCCCATTCAGAGAAGCCTATCCACGTACCTCTTCTCCAGATTTCCCTATGACCAATTTTCAAATTCAGCCAAACCATTGGCCACAGCCCATGAGTCGATATATAGTCACACATCTGGCTATTTCTTCTTTCAAACAAAGTGAACAGCCAGGTGCACTGCTGAAAGCTCTTCCCACTGGAAGTCTTTCCCTTCACTAACATCCTTCAGAGATGTCCCAGAAAAGGGCTGTAGTACCACAGCTGTTCACTTTTGGGATGTGCCTGCATATTACGCAGAACTATCTGTAAACCTGCTTCTTCTCTTCCTCTGTCAGCTGATTGTAGGCAACTCCCTCCGAGGCCATAGGTGCAGGTTGGGAGAGAGAGAGAGCATTTGGACTACTTCTTCATATAACTTACTTGTGCTTTCAGGGCCTACTCGGTGCCATCTTGTATATACCACTTCCATTTGATGGAGTGCTGCTGTGCATGCTCAACTTTATGGCTTGGTGTGTCAAATAATACCCAGTTCATGATGGGTATTTCAGGTCACATAGTAACTTGGTGGCCCATGGTTAAGCATTCAGTCTCTACTAAGACCCAGTAGCAGGCCAAGAGCTATTTCTCAAAAGAGGAGTGCTGGACTCGGCGACCACCACTGAGCAGATCGGACTCCACTCATTCGCTCGCCTTGCTCTGCTTCCTCTGCAACTGTGTCTGACAAACCTGATATGGCTGAGACTGAGAAATTCAATATGTGGAAATTGAAGAAGACAGAAATGCAAGAGAAAAATCCACTGCCTTCTAAAGAAACGACTGAACAGGAGAAGCAAGCAGACGAATCGTAATGAGGCACGCACTGCCAATACGCACCATACATTCCACAAGCATTGCCTTCTTGTTTTACTTCTTTTAGCCGTTTAACTTTGTAACATGCAAAGAAGTTGGATCAAGTTTAAAATAACTGTGCTGCCCCTTTTCACATCAGAGAACTACTGACAACAAAGGCCACACCAGCCTCTCCCATATGCCTGGCTGGCTGTCAGGGAAGGAAAAGGACTTGCAGGTTGGTTAAAGCAGAAGCTGGGTGAGACGAGAGTGAAATCTAGAATAAAAAACCAAGCTGGCCTGGGGTGGCTGGTTAGCTCAGGTGGTGAGAGTGCAGGCTCTTAACACCAAGGTTGCCAGTTCAATTCCCACATGGGCCAGTGAGCTGCTCCCTCCACAAATAGATTGAAGACAACAACTTTACTTGGAGCTCAGCTACACTCTCCACAACTAGACTGAAAACAATGACTTGACTTGGAGCTGATGGGAACTGGAGAAAACACACTGTTCCCCAACAAAGTTTTTTTTCGTTGTTTTTTTTTTAAAGAGGAGTAGTTCTCTATGGAGGACAGCAGGGCTTTGCTCCAAAATCCTAAGGGCCTGCCCTAGGATTCACTAATAGGGACTTGCTGAAGGCTCCAAACAGCACTCTGTCTGCCACTGACCCTTCAAGCAACATTGAATCTGGTGGACCATGTGGCCCAAGTGGCAGAGCAGCCTGACCTGTTGCATAGTCTTTTCTTGTTCTGGGCCCTACTCAAAACTAGCAGCTTTTCAGGTTACTTGGTGAATGGGCCAGAGTAACACACCCAGATGAGGAATATGTTGCCTCCAAAATCCAAAGAGGCCCAATAAGGTATTATACCTCTCTTTTGGTTGTGTGGGAGGCCAGATGGTACAACTTTTCCTTCACTTTGGAAAGGATACCGTGACATGCCCACTTCACTAGTCCCGTGAAATTTCACAGAACTGGAAAGCCCCTGAACTATGGCTGGATCAGCTTCAATAGAGGGCATTGGTCCTCCTAGAATCCCATGCAGGGCAATTGGCCTTTGGCGCCACAATAGAAGGACTCCCCCCCCCACACACACCCCATGGAGCCTGAAATAGCTAGGGGCATGCCTGGGGGCTGTTGATGCATACACTTAAGCAGAACAAAGGAATACACATTGAGCATGAAACAGGGAAAGATATTCTCACAAAAGGTGATAAACCCAGCACAGGCTGGGAGGACTCTATCTCTTGGTAAGAAAGTGTTCCATGCCCAAGGTCCATTCTTACATGCCCAAGCACAGGTGGAAAGACTATGGACATGAGACTGACTTTTCCAACAAAAGGTGGTCAAGATCCCTGTGAACTAAATTATGACATAGAGCTGTTTAGTTAGTACATCCCTGAGGTAGGACAGTGAAGGTGTATTCTGGCCTTGCCAGCTGAAAGCAAACTGCTTCTGGTGGTCCTTATGGGCAGGAATGGAGAAAAAGGTGTTTGTCAGATCAATAGCTGCATACCAGGTACTAGAGGACATGTTAACTTATTCAAGTAATAAAACCTCATCTGGGGCCGGCCGAGTGGCGCGATGGTTAAGAACTCGCTTGGGATGCCAGAGGGCCCCGGTTCGGATCCCGCATATGAGGGCCAGTGAACACTGCCCTCCACAGCTAAGATGCTGAACAACAGCTCAACCTGGAGCTGGGCTGCCGTGAGTCGCTGGCGACGGCGTGGGCTGCAGTCCCTGTGGCAGTGGGTTGCCATGGGCTACCGTGTGTAGCCAGCAGCCAGCAGCCAGCGTGAGCGGCCAGCCGCCGCAGTGAGCGGCCGTCCAGAAGCCGGCGACTGATCTGCCTCTCCAGGGAGGAGCGCAATGATGGTGCCAACTTGGGCAAGTGAAGCAACGTCCTCCACAACTAGATTGAAGAACAAAACGACAGCAACTTGTCTGTTCCCCTTCCCCAATCCCCCAGCACTGTTCCCATCCCCCCAATTCCCCAATAAAAAATCTTTAAAAAAAAACACATCTGGCACAGCAGCTACAAATGGAGTCACCACCTGGTTAAGTTTACAGTAATCCACTGTTATTCTCCAAGGTCCATCTGCCTTCTGCACAGGCCAAATAGATGAGTTGAATGGGATGTGGTGGGAATCACAACACCTGCATCTTTCAAGTCCTTCATGATGGCACTAATCCCTCTAGGAATGTGGTATTGCTTTTGGCTTACTAGTTTCCTAGGTAGAGGCAGTTCTAGTGGCTTCCACTTGGCCTTTCCCACCATAATAGCCCTCACTCCACAGGTCAGAGAACCAATGTGGGGATTTTGCCAGCTGCTGAGTATGTCTATTTCATTTATGTATTCCAGAACTGGGGAGATAAACACAGGATGGATTAGGGACCTACTGGCCCACTGTGAGACAGAACTGAGCTAAAACTTCATTGATCACCTGACCTCCATAAGCCCCTACATTGACTGGTGGACCACAGTGACATTTTGGGTTTTCTAGTGTCCAATAGTCCCTGAAAAGTCTGATTATTTCCTTTGCCCCAATGCACGGTTACCCTGGTAAAAGGCCATAGGTCCTTTTGGGGAAGCCTAGGAGAAAGATTAACAGTATAAAATTTGGGCAATGTACTGAGGTCCTTCCTCAAGAGAACCCAACCTCCCCTTAATTCAAGAGGCTCTAGTCCTGTAAAGTGGCTCAAGTCTGAGAATTAATTGAGAGGCTATGACTTTTTATGAGTCAGGTTAGAATTTTGTTTACTTGACCTAGAACTTTTCTGCATATTCAGATCAAATAAGAGTTTAGTAGGCTTCCTATCTGTTTTACTTCTAGAAACACCATGTTTAACTAGCCAATGCCATAGGGTCTTTGCGAATCAAACTATTCCAATTTCTGCCTTGTCTCTGCTGTCTATTATGGTAACCACAGCTAATTTGTCTTTGGTGGTTGAGTGCTGTAACTTGATCCCTGCCACTCTGGGATCCAATTATTCCCATTGCATTTAGGTTTTCCAGCTTACGACTGCCGTTCCCACTGTAAGGTCTGACTACAGAGAAGAGTGATCACAGAGCTCTTCAAGGATGTGGAGACGCCCTTCATAAATTTATTTCTCCCAATCACGGTGAAAGGTGTGTCTTCTGGACTATCCCAGGATGGGTGAGTGG